ATTTATATGTATTTCCGTAGTATTTATCTATATTTCCGTACGTCCGTAATTGGGCCGAATTTCTGTATTTAAACTACGGACGTTCCGTAGTACTTGAGAACCCTGCACTTTCGATTCCACTCAGTGCAATATGACTTTGCGGTGAATTTCAATGACGTCATCTTTGTCTCAGCGTATCAACGTCCCAGTGTATCAGCGTCTCAGTGTATCAGCGTCTCAGTGTATCAGCGTTTATAAGACAACGCTCCTCGTAAGCTATGAATGTTTTTTTTAAGATGATAGTTGTGGCCCAATTAAAAACCCTAAAATAGTGTGTATCCTTTAATATATTATCGCACAATGTTGGAAAACAAACAACATAGGCCTACAGGATTTTGTTATTTGAAAGTCAGGCTTCGGAGGTAAAAAGGATTTTTCTAAAAAGTAGGCAAAATCACAGTTTGGTTGTCTTAAGTGACGAAAGGTCATGGCATAAGCCACTGGAGAATATGCATTATCAAACGCCTCAATCGATGTTGCTTTCGATCACATGCATTTTGACCCGGAAATTCCCTAAGCATTGATCCATATCCCCACTCAATATTCAATAGGCCTATGTGCACAATAACAAAAGATAGAGCCGATACAACTAGTGTCTGACAAATAGCTGATGTATAGTCTGACGACGTGCGAGCTGCCCACGATAATACAGGTAGGCCAAGGCCTATGGTAAATTCAGCAACCTTTTAGAACTAAATAGCCATATTTCTTAGGGCGGATCGTACTACTGCTGGTTTGTTTATCAATTATTTAAACTTTTGTACAATATGATATACTAAACCATGATTTGATAATTGGGCTGTTGATTGTCAGCCCTCGTTTTACCGACTGACAATTTAGTATTCTTGAAACACAACATTGGCGCCCAGTACAAAAATTAATCCGGAGTGGGATATTGTTCCATGAGTGGGGATCCACTAGTCCCAGTTCACTCCTACCCACTCTGTCGTCAAACGTCGTATAGGTCCTTTCGTGCTACAGTTCAGTGTAGATAGAAACCCAGAACCACACCTACCACATTTACCTGCCAGACTACTATGACGTCATTCTCGATTGCCACTCAACCGGAAAAAGTTCGTAGAGACCGTACAAACTTTTGTTTATACATGTGTAGCAGTGGGGTTCGGTTGGGGATGGTAGGCCAAAGGATAGCCCTACAAACAATGCGTAAGTGAGAGTCCGTCTTCTACAGAGTTAAAATTGAAAAAAGGAGTGAAATTTTCACTCTACAGTATATTTAGACTCTCCTTTTTACTAATTAACTCTGTATTTTAATAATAAAAATCACTCTTAAGCTGTGAATTTTCATTCCAGGAAGAGTGTCATATAGAGCTGAAAGCACTTTGAGTGAATTCCGGCGGCGTGAATTTTATTCATTAGAGAGCATGGGATTGTTGTGAACTGTAGGCAAATGTCTCGACAGATGGACGCCCCCGACAAGACGCATCGCTTTCGTAGGCGCCATTTCTCTGAGAATACAGCACACCAGGGTAACACTGAAGAAAAGATACAGAGTAATGAGCGGAAACGTCACTTCTACAGAAAACGAAAGGAAAGATATGATGTTGAACAGTCCCATATCAGGTCTCGTTCTCGAGATTCTAGGCCTCGTTCTGTATCTAGTGCTCCTAAGATTCAACCATGTGCATCTAGGGCTAGGTCTTCTGACACAAGACTCTGTATGCAGGATACATATACTGCAGGACCAGCTATTATTTGTTTTCTGGGAGTGGAACTGCAATGCACACCTTCGTCTCATGATGAACTTATACAATTATGTAATGACCACGGAATGAAGTACACAACTTTAAGTCTCTTAGAAAGCCAGTTTGGTATAGATATAACAGATATCAATGTGCAATTTAATTCATGGAAAGAGGCTGAAATGAGCAAAACTTTGATAAATCAGCATTTCAAAGTGTCTTTCACTGATATATCATTCTTAAATGAAAACGTAAGTCCCAGTGTTAAATCCTATGAGCCCAAAATTTGACATTCCTATAGGCAAAGTCAACCAAGACGTCCCACATACACAGAATAATGGCATCGCTAGTATCGCTGTAATAAATAAATTAAAAACATTCCTTTTTCTACTAATATTATGTTAACTCTTTATAGCACATTAATTTTGCCGTACCTTTCATATGTCAATATCGCTTGGGCAATTACCATTAACAAATTTATTAATCTGTGTCCCTGGAGTATGAATCGACCCATATTGATAAACTATTTAAACTTCAAAAAAGGGCTCTAAAGAATCTGCCCTGCTGCTACTTTTAAATCCCGTACTAAACCTTTGTTCTATGAATATAATGTCTTGAATATTTATGATTTAAATAAGTTACAAATTGGTATGTTTATGTTTAGTTTACACAAAGGTATGCTACCTCTTCACATCGCCTCTTTATTTTCTAAACCATCCTCTCACCATTTTCACAGTCACAACACTAGATATTCTTTAACCTATATACTGCAATATATACTGCAATTTTTACTACTACATCCAAACTTGGAGGTCACTGTATTTTCTATTCTGGTCCAAAATTATGGAATACACTTCCCTTATCTCTTACAAATCAGGAATCAATTGCAAACTTCAAATTTAATTCTAAACGCACTCTGGTCTTGGAATACGGTGTACAGTTCTCTTCCATAATTGGCTCTGTGTTATTTTATTTTTTTTTGTTTATATTCTTTTGTCTGTCAACATCAATATTATAAAATGTCATTTTTTTTTCTTCCTTTAACTATTGGCATATTGTGTTTTGATCTAACGCTTGAGTTATTCATACGCCCGGATTTTATTGTTTGCATTGCATTATTTAGCTTTATCATTGCAATTCATTGTTTCAACTCTCAGGTAATTTATTACTTTTTTAAACGGGGGCCTAGTCTTAAAGTTTCTTTGTTAAACTTATCTAGGCCTTCCTCAGCATATGTTTTATGCTGTTATGTTAAATATATGGAAAACTTGAATAAAACGAAACGAAATGCTTAGAAGATGGGAAAAAATGAAGATCGCTAACATATAGAACTTAAAATTCAAGTTCGTGCAGTTTAGTAACTGTGGTTGTTACATTATGCCAATTTTCTAGTTTATACAACACAATGCTGTTCCGTGTAAGGGTGGAATAACATATGTCTAAAGCATTACAGCAAGACGGTTCAGAGTTTTATCTCGACTTTTTATGTACGTCAAAATGATTATCTCTCTTATTTTTAATTCTTCTAGGCTACTGCTGTCCAAATACGCATGCGCAAGAATGTGATGAATTAGTTGCTTTAATCGGAGGTATATTTTACCTCCATGATATGAATTGAATAATGATGAATATAACAATGATAATGTATGTGCTAAATGCTTGCGGTATACAACGTGTGATAGTTTTGTTGATGTCGCGACGACGTTTCGATTGAGTTGCTTCAGTCGTCATCAGCAGAATAACATCATTGTTACTTCGCCATGCAGCCTTCAAACAAAGGATGGTGGTGGTGTTGATGGTGAGGATAATCATGATGATGAGTGTTATAACGTTAACGATAAACCACAAAAAACAAATTGTAACTATAGATATAAGCATATATAAGCCTAAATTTACTCTTTTTTTCTATTGGAATGGTATTTTTGGCGCAGCAAATTTCCATGGGATATCTATGAACACAGAATGAGGTAGAAGAGC